CAAGTTTTACTAAAGGAAAACAACCTTTACTGAATTAAATCGTTTTACTCAATGAAAACAACCTTTACTTATTGAAAACCAGTTTTATTCAGTGAAAATAATTTTTACTTAAAACAAATTTTGCTCGTATTCAGTGTTTAGTTTGTCATATTTAAGTGTCCAGTTGTGCATACTCTCTCCTCTTGGATCCCTTTCCAGCTGCCAGTCTTTGAAATAAAGACCTCTAGTGACTCCACTATGTTTTCAGCTTCCGTTTGTCTGCTTGTACCTGGTCCTCACGTTTATGTCTGCTTGTACCTGGTCCTCACGTTTATGTCTGCTTGTACCTGGTCCTCACGTTTATGTCTGCTTGTACCTGGTCCTCACGTTTATGTCTGCTACTGTACCTGCTGTCCTCACGTTTGTCTGCTTGTACCTGGTCCTCACGTTTATGTCTGCTTGTACCTGGTCCTCACGTTTATGTCTGCTTGTACCTGGTCCTCACGTTTATGTCTGCTTGTACCTGGTCTTCACGTTTGTCTGCTTGTACCTGGTCCTCACGTTTGTCTGCTTGTACCTGGTCCTCACGTTTATGTCTGCTTGTACCTGGTCCTCACGTTTATGTCTGCTTGTACCTGGTCCTCACGTTTGTCTGCTTGTACCTGGTCCTCACGTTTATGTCTGCTTGTACCTGGTCCTCACGTTTGTCTGCTTGTACCTGGTCCTCACGTTTATGTCTGCTTGTACCTGGTCCTCACGTTTGTCTGCCTGTACCTGGTCCTCACGTTTGTCTGCTTGTACCTGGTCCTCACGTTTGTCTGCTTGTACCTGGTCCTCACGTTTATGTCTGCTTGTACCTGGTCCTCACGTTTATGTCTGCTTGTACCTGGTCCTCACGTTTATGTCTGCTTGTACCTGGTCCTCACGTTTGTCTGCTTGTACCTGGTCCTCACGTTTATGTCTGCTTGTACCTGGTCCTCACATTTATGTCTGCTTGTACCTGGTCCTCACGTTTATGTCTGCTTGTACCTGGTCCTCACGTTTATGTCTGCTTGTACCTGGTCCTCACGTTTATGTCTGCTTGTACCTGGTCCTCACATTTATGTCTGCTTGTACCTGGTCCTCACGTTTATGTCTGCTTGTACCTGGTCCTCACGTTTATGTCTGCTTGTACCTGGTCCTCACATTTATGACTGCTTGTACCTGGTCCTCACGTTTATGTCTGCTTGTACCTGGTCCTCACGTTTATGTCTGCTTGTACCTGGTCCTCACGTTTATGTCTGCTTGTACCTGGCCCTCACGTTTGTCTGCTTGTACCTGGTCCTCACGTTTATGTCTCCTTGTACCTGGTCCTCACGTTTATGTCTGCTTGTACCTGGTCCTCACGTTTATGTCTGCTTGTACCTGGTCCTCACGTTTGTCTGCTTGTACCTGGTCCTCACGTTTATGTCTGCTTGTACCTGGTCCTCACGTTTGTCTGCTTGTACCTGGCCCTCACGTTTGTCTGCTTGTACCTGGCCCTCACGTTTGTCTGCTTGTACCTGGTCCTCACGTTTGTCTGCTTGTACCTGGTCCTCACGTTTATGTCTGCTTGTACCTGGTCCTCGCGTTTATGTCTGCTTGTACCTGGTCCTCACGTTTATGTCTGCTTGTACCTGGTCCTCACATTTATGTCTGCTTGTACCTGGTCCTCACGTTTATGTCTGCTTGTACCTGGTCCTCACGTTTATGTCTGCTTGTACCTGGTCCTCACGTTTATGTCTGCTTGTACCTGGTCCTCACGTTTGTCTGCTTGTACCTGGTCCTCACGTTTGTCTGCTTGTACCTGGTCCTCACGTTTATGTCTGCTTGTACCTGGTCCTCACGTTTATGTCTGCTTGTACCTGGTCCTCACGTTTGTCTGCTTGTACCTGGTCCTCACGTTTATGTCTGCTTGTACCTGGTCCTCACGTTTATGTCTGCTTGTACCTGGTCCTCACGTTTAAATCTGCTCCTGTCCTCTACCTACCAGCTGTTGATTCTGGGAGTTATCGATCCCGCGGTTCATTCCTAGACCGGGCCTGGTTGATGGGCTGATCAATCAGGCTGTTGGTGCTAGCAGCACACAACCCAGCTAATTAGGAACTTGCTAAGGGAACTTTTCACGTTTCCTTTTGAAAGGGATTGTTGGTAATTCTCCTTTCGCTTGAAGGGATTGTTTTCAAAAGATTTGAACCCTTTACTTTTATTGAATTATCTCTTAATGTACTTGTTTGTACCTCTGCTTTGCTTTGGTAGTATTTTTGCACTGTCTGCTAAGCCTTCCGCTCAGGTACGGAGTAATTTCAGCATGTAAATTTTGAACCCGTCTTCCCTATCGATTGCTTCTGCAGATTTGTCAAGTTTAGTTCCATTAGCTTTTCATCCAGCACTTCCACTCAACTCTTGGGCTAATATGGCTGCAAATATGCACCCCTTTAAGCTTCTGAACATGCATTGTTGCTACACATTCTAAGATGGACCCAGTGTGCATTGTATGCACGTTGAGCCCAGTCTGGCCTGGTCAACTAGGCTGTTGCTGTTGGCGGCAACAGCCAAGCCTGCCAACTATGATTTTATGACTGTCATAAAATCAGCAATTTGTGTTTGTGGGAGTCGAGTCATGATCTGCACCCCGCCTCTTAAGCCTCATCGCATGTCATTACTGGTATCTGGCCACTGGAGGCCCATCATACTAACTTTTAAAGCTGTATGGGGGGTAGCCACCCCCCCCCCACCACTTTCACATACAGTTCATTCCACTTGCCTACAACTGAGACGTGTGTAGATTCTAGTAGTTAGTGTGTGGGTGAGGTAGTGTCCTCGGGAGAGGCATGTATCAGTGTTGACGGTTCTCAGTATCATGTGTTAAGTGTGCTAATGGTTCCATGTGGAAACTGTTTTCTCGTATTGTATCAATAAAAAGAAACTTGAGAGGGATTGCACACACTTTCAGTAAACTTACAGGTTCCTGCTTCGATTATAGTAAGTTTATCTGTTGTCTGTAAGGCCACTTGTAAGGCAGTGGCTTAATGTTTGGCTTAGCTCAAAGAACCCTGGTTAGGTTTCTTAAGGAAGGATTATATTATTATTATTATATTTAATCCTTCAAGAGGAGGGGGGAGGTTACTTGATGCTGGTGAAAGACACGAGTCAAGGAGTTTGATATCTTGTCTATATTGTATACCATTATTGTAATGATTATGGGATGTCTGAAACCACCTTCACTTGATCTGTAAAAAACTTGAAGCCCCAGTTGTCTGGCTTTGTTAATGACTGATAGCACAGGAGCCCAGCCATGAAACTTGCCTAAACGATGTACAGTAATTACGTGGTCGAATATAGGTCTAATTTTGAACGACTAACTGAACCTCGTCCGTGTTGGTCCAATAATCGTCCATCTCTGAAGTTGCATAATCCCATGAGTAAAAGTATTTCCATGAATGAGAATGATGTCTCGACTTTTCTTTGGCACATGTAGAGGTTGATCTGGAACACAATGTGCTTTACCAAAACCATAGTGAATACTTGTACTGTTTTTAAATTCTAGTGGTAGTGCAGTGAGTGATTGTATTTTCACCTTGTTTCCATCCTCACATGTTTCAGGTCTTACCACTGTACGGGTGGCTGAAATAGAGAAAAAAGTACAAAATGACAGTAAACTTGAAATAAAATGACAGTGAATGTGAATAAACTTGAAATAGGGGTTACAGACAAACTGGGAGAGAAACCTTTAAAAAAAAATAAAATTTAAAACTCTTAAGAATTAAATGCCTGCCGTTAAACCATATAAAACCAAAAAGGTAAAAAGATTTTTTTTTTTTTTGCAAGTAGCTCTTCTGACTGTCTCTCCTGTTATGTTATATCCAAGATGAAGTTATGGTTTATAACTCCTCCATACACAGCATCTATGTATGATTCTGATTCCACCTTAGTATCACTCAGCTTGAACTACCTCCTTGTGAAAGCTGTGTACTCATCTGGAAAGATATAATTTATATGCTCTCTTTCAGCATGCATTTGTTACCTCGCTGTTACCATGTATAGTTTCACTATCAAAAGTATCAGCCCAAATATGTGATAAATTAACCAAAATATTCAATAGATTTGTTTTGAGACTTCATTGACAAAATATCAGGTAGTCAGGACCAAATTGACTTTACTATTTCTTCACTATCAGCTTATCAATTTGCTATCTGTAGTGATCTGCTTATCTCATACTGACATAGCATGGTTACCCATATGTCTGATATACTATGTCGTTTCAAGAATTTTCTGTACTTTTCTAGTAATCGCCCCTACAGTCCTTACAGGCTTTATTTTGTCCCACACAATTTACACAAATTTTGTCTTTTTTTTCGAAATTCATTTATATCAGCACTAAATATCATTATTATTATTATTATTATAATCAAGGGGAAGCGCTAAACCCGGAGGATTATACAGCGCCTGGGGGGGGGATGTGGAAGGCATTCAGGCTTAATTCGGGGAACTGGAGCACAGATCCAATTCCCTAAATCAAGAGCCCCTCACCAACATCAAGGAACCTTCCTTGAGGGGAGCACTAAATATCAGTATTTATCTTCGTGAAATTTTTCATGAGGATACCTGCATGGTGGTGGGTAATATGAAAACTTGGTTGCAAAACGCACCCTCTTCCCTGCAATATACAGACCAACAAATGGACACCTCAGCTTGCCTGGGAGGAAGCTTATGTGACTGGCCCCTTGATGATGAGATAAATGTGATGTAATGTCACACAGTTCACGCACCGTGATAAAAATGAACATATTCAGAGTTAGCATATACGTGAAGCCCATACAGACTTCATGAACTGCAAAATTCAGTCTCCAGCTTATATTTCGTGTAGTTATTTTTTTTTATCTGTATCTGTGGTAGCCATAATTTAGGTAGCGTAACTTTAGGCTAGATGATATACAATACAAAACAATACGTAAATGTCATTAGTTGGCAAAAAAGGTAATATATAATTTTTTTTTCAGCCTCCAGGTGCTGGTAAAACCTATCTGGTGAAACAGATGAGCAATGTGTGTGAGATGCCATTATATGGTGTTCACACTAATCAAGTCAAAGGAGCATCATCAGTAAGAAAGCTCTTTGAACAAGCCAGAGACAACTACCCTTCACTGGTGTTTATGGATGATGTTGATGCCATATTCTCCAATCATGACGAGGAGCCCACCTGTTCAGCTGTAATCCAGTCTATTCGCGATGAGCTCTTCATACAGCTAGGGCCTCGTAAGCTGAAAATTATAGATCCAAAATCAACAAAAAATCCAACAGAGGCCACCGTAGAAGTTCGAAGTGGAGTGAACGGTACTGGAGGGTCAGTAGGGAGTCGTGCTTCCAGCCGAGCTTCTACACTTTCTAGACCACCACCCTCGGCTCCACCTGAAGATGATGATGTGTTAGATGACGACTCTCAGTATCCTGACAATAATGGTATAATTGTTGTGGCAGCCACCAGTGCCCCATGGCTTCTATACAAGGTATGGTAATCAACCTTTGTGTTTACATTAAGTAACATTCTTGTTGTATTTGACATTAAATATTCATTAATCTCTACAGTAGCTTACAGAACCTGGTTTTCTTGCTTTCCAGTTTTTGTATACATTATATAATATGTTGTCAGAGATGTGAGGTGGGTGGCAATTGATTTCCTTGAGGCATTTACCTTTGTGAAGGTTAAGCTGATTGGGTGGTAATATTTCTGATAAATTTTTTTAATTTATCTTAAAGTTTTGGTTGACACTTGCAGATTTCTAGCCTTAGCCTTTCTTATGTTCTTATGTTCAAATGTTTGTTAGTGGGATGAATTGTAAAGGACCTGCCTAGTATGGGCAGGTCCTTTCTTATGTTCTTATGTTCTTATGTTGGTGAGGAGCTCTTAATGCAAGGAACTTGATTTATCATCCCTTTCCTTGAATAACATGTGAATGCCTCCCATTTAACTAGTGATATATAAACCCTGTGAGTTTAGCTCTTTCCCCTGATTAAAATAAATAAGTGTACCTTTTGGAATGCAGGTGCAAAAGATGCAGCATAATTTACACCTGGAAAATCGATGAGGGATTTGTCCTGAATCTATATACAGAACTCATTCCCTGAGAAAGTAAGATGCTCAGCAGATAATGCAAAATACTCCGAGTTCAGGGTGGGGGCGCTGTGGGGTGCATTGAAAGATAACACGATAAGTGTAAGGACCCCGAGACTTTTCAACACCCTTCCTTCATACATTAGAGGGATTTCCAACAGACCTCTGACTGCCCCTCAAGAGGGAACTTACCATGATTTACATCATAAGTTACACCTGGAAAATAATGGAAGCACTGGTCCTGAACCTACAAGTGCACTTGGCAGATGGTGCAACATACCTCCAATAAAAAGCATAGACACACCGAGTATACTAAGAGGGAGCTTGATAAGTGTCAAGATATCCTCATTGTTTCAACGCCTTCCCTTCATGCACATGGGAAGTTGCCAACAAACCTCTGACTGTCTTCAATAGGGAATTTGATAAGATCCTCAGTGTGCATGCAGCCATCAGCAACAGCCTAGTCAATTATGCCAGCAACCAGGAAACCTGACTGGACCGCAGGAGCAGTGACCCCAGAAAGTGGTCTGTGGTACTCATAGGTAAGAGGTCTTGTGCATTCAAAGATTCATGTGTCACATCAGGCACGAGTGACATGCCTGACACTAATTGGTGTATAATTTAATGTGTAATTGCCTGTTTAACTTTGTGGAGAGAAAGGGTGAGCTGTATCTTTGATCTTGCCTTTGAACTTTCAGTTGAATGACGTGATTGAAGAACACTTGTATGGAGTACTCTTCCACTTTGTCATTGTTTAGCTAATTCTTATGTCTTCTCTGGTTGCTGTTCTGTTATCCTGTTATTGGTGTTCAGGATTGATATGTACACTATCTTAGAAGCTGATAACATATCCTTAAGTCCCTGATTGGCTTTCTTTTTAATTTAGCTTTTGTTATTCAAAATATAACCAACTATTTATATTTTATATTACTGATTGTTACTTCTAAAATTATTAAACATTAAGCTTAATTATTAATAAATTGTGAAAGAATTAGATGTACAAATAATAGTTAATTTTTTATATAATCTTTAGAGCCTAAAACCATTCTATTAATGTCTATTGCTCATCAGTCTATTAGGCAAATTAAAGTTTTCACTAGCTCATTAGTTGAATACAATAGAATCCTTTAGAAGTTGCATACTATGTTCCAGTACTTAGAGCCTAAGTGTATTTAATGCATAACTGAAATTGAATAAGATGTTTCTCGTGCAGGATCATGAGCTTCTGAGCAGATTCCGTGGTGTGTACCTGGTTGGTCTACCTGACAAACAGACACGCTATAATTTGCTCAAGTCTCTCTTTCAAGATGTCCACCATAACCTCACAGATAAAGACATCATGGTGGTGGCTGACAAGACAGAGGGGTACATACATTTTATTTTTTACTCTTTTGTTATTTAATTTCCATTTTAAATTTAAAAGATATCAACCTTGCACATATTTTTGTTATATGATAGATATCTGTACAGTAGAGGTACACTATGTATATTTAAGCTGCTGTTAGTATGTATGGTATTTTTATTATATTGTAATTATGTACTTGTATGTAGCTGATTGTGCATACAGGGGTAAAGGTAGGTTCATTGTGTTCTGTCTTCAGTATTTATCATATAAAATAATTGTTTGATGAGTCCAGTGGGTGTAGTGCTTGCTTACTCCATTGTTCTGCCTATTGATAATCATCTTTTACTTTGCTGAAACTAGCATAAAGGGCTCAGCCTGAACTCCTTGGGAATCAAGCGAGAAAGTGCATTATAATTTACATGTGGAAGTCCAAAAGGGACTGGTCCCAAATCTCAGCATATAAATAATTCTCCATGAAAGAGGCTTGGCAGACAGTGCAAAAATACCCTCATTAAAAAATACAGGTGCCATGAGTACACCAAGGCATGACACAATAATTGTAAAAGGCCCAAGCATTTCAACGGTCTCTCATCATACATAAGGGGAATTACCAGCGGACTCCTAGCTATCTTCAAGAGGGAACCTGATAGGTTCTTAAGTCAGTTCCTCATTAGCCAGGCTGTGGTTTGTACATTCAACTGCTTGTGCCCAACAGTAACAGCCTGGTTGATCAGGGTTTAATCCAATTGGATGCCTGGATTGGGTCATAGGGGCATTGACACCTGAAAACATCCTTTAGGTATTCTTCAGGTATATTCTCTGGAATACATATGAGAGAGATTGTATAATGTATCACATGAAAAAAAAAAAGACCCCTGCCTAATCTGCACATCAAGATAACAGTTTACTTAGTGAAAGATATGGTAGGAGTTGTGATATAGCATTGCTGGCTCATACCCATGCTGTTTTAATAGAAAGCATTTCAGTCCTAAGAAAACTTTTTTTTCTCGTAGTCACTTCAGGTGTCCAACGCTGCTTACTGATAATGATAAGGAAGATAACAGCAGAAGAGGGTCAAAAAAATGTTGGATGTAATTATTGGTAGCTATTTTGGTCCCCTATTTAAGATAATGTATATTTGAAAAGAAAAAGTGTTGGAAAATAGTGATTTTGATAAGGTATAATTTTCTGTCTGGCTTGGAAGTTGACATATAGGCAAATTTTTAATACAGTAAGTAAAATTTCATGAAGCTACATTGTGCTTTTATGAAATATGGAATAGTACAATACATTATGTACTGTAAGAACATAAGAAAGAAGGAACACTGCAGCAGGCCTACTGGCCCATGCGGGGCAGGTCCATGTCAACCCCCGGCTTAGACCAATGGCCCACCCAGTCAGGTCACCTCCACTTTATTTATTTATTTAGTTATTTATTTAGTAATTTTAGCATACATACAGAGGTACAAAAAAATACAGGTAAGAGCAGCATGCCAAAGCCACTTATATGCATAGCATTACGGGCTGGCTTAAAATTAACTTAAGATTAACTAAGCAATGATGAAATCAGTGATAAAACATTATTGTAAACAGATAACTATAAAGCATAAATGAGTATTACAAAGACAGGTCATATGGTTGCATGCATTGCTGTACATTCAGTCGAATGGAGTATTCTGTTAGGTAGTGTATTTAAAAAAAATAACAAAGTTAGATTGGTCCTAGGTTTAACATTTGTGTGATATAATTGTGAGTAACATATAGGATATACAATTTATAAGGTTCAGTTATTCAGTATTTATTTGGTTTTGAGTGAGTAAGTGATCTTTGAGAAGAGACTTGAATTTATAAACAGGTAGTGTTTCTTTTATATTTACAGGTAATGAATTCCAGATTTTAGGGCCTTTTATGTGCATTGAGTTTTTGCATAGCATGAGATGGACACGAGGAACATTAAAGAGTGATCTGTGCCTTGTGTTATGGTCATGTGTTCTGTTGAGGTTGGCAAGGAGATGTTTGAGGGGAGGGTTAATATCAGAGTTAAGTGTTCTATGTATGTAATAGGTGCAGTAATAAGTATGGATGTTTTGTATGGTGAGTAGGTTGAGTGTTTTGAATATTGGAGTGTGCTGCCTGTAGTGAGAATTTGTTATCATTCTAACTGCAGCCTTTTGTTGGGTAATTAGTGGTCTGAGATGGTGAATTGTTGTTGAGCCCCATGCACAAATTCCATAGGTGAAATAGGGGTAAATAAGAGAGTGATAAAGGGCCAGGAGGGCTGACTGTGGAACATAGTACCGTATCTTCGATAGTATGCCTACAGTCTTGGAAATTTTCTTAGAAATTTGTTGTATATGTGTATGAAATTTGAGTCTATTATCAAGGTGGGATTCCTAAGAATTTTCCTCTGTTAGCTTTGTGATAGGTGATCTGTTTATCGTTATGTTAAGAGGTACATCTGTAGCTCTGTTACCAAACTGAATGAAGTAGGTTTTGTCAATGTTTAGTGTAAGTTTGTTAGTCCTCATCCAGGTAGATATTTTCTGTAATTCGGTGTTTACAGTATTGGCTAGCGTGACTGGGCTCGGGTGAGAGAAGACGTATGTAGTGTCATCTGCAAAAAGTGTGGGTTTGAGTAATTGCGAAGCATTTGGTAGGTCATTTATGTATAGGAGAAAGAGAAGAGGCCAAGGACACTTCCCTGTGGGACACCAACTGTAATTGGTTGAGCGGAAGAGCTTGCCCCATTTGCGTACACATATTGGCTTCTGTTGCTGAGGTATGATTTGAGGTAGTTGAGGGAGTGCCCTCTAATACCATAGTGTGACAATTTTACGTGGAGCAAGTCATGGTCAACTGTATCAAAAGCTTTACGTAAGTCAATGAAGATCCCCAGTGGGACTTCTTTTTTCTCTATTGCAGTGTATATATGTTCTAGCATGTGTATAATAGCATCATTAGTATTTTTATTAGGCCTGAATCCAAATTGGCAGGGGTTGAGAATGTTTTGGGAGATGAGGTAGGAGTAGATTCGTTTATGAATTAATTTTTCGAAGATTTTTAGAGAGGGTGTAAATTGGATATTGGCCTATAGTTATTCAACTCTGTTTGGTCTCCTCCTTTATGGATCGGGGTGACCCTTGCTATTTGAGAGCTGTAGGGAAGTGGAGGATTCAATGGATTTGTTAAAGAGTGTTGTAATGATGGTGATAGTACTTGTGACACTTTTTTGTATATAAAGGGTGGTAAGGTATTTAAATCTCCTGCCTTGTTTTTTAGTGCGTTGATGATAAGGGAGACTTCGTATGGGTTAGTCGGAGCTAGAACAGTGTGTTTCGGGTAGTTGCCAGTGAGGTAGTCATTTGGTGGGGTATCTGAGCTTGGGATTTTATTGGCAAGGTTTTGTCCTATAGTGGAGAAGAAATCATTGAGTCTGTTTGCTGTTTCTGTTGGTGGGAGTTGGGGGTTCATCTGATTTTGCTAATTTTATTTCGCTATTTCGTGATATCTTTTCTGTTCCCAGATTTCTGATAGGGTCTTCCAGGTCTTTTTTATATCACCTCGTAAGTTGGATAATCTGTTCTCATAATACAGTTTTTTGCCCTCTTATCAGGCTGGTTAGGATTGACGAGTAACGTTTTGTTTTGGTCTCTGGTTATGTGACCCATTCTGTACTGTTTTTCATATCGGTGTTTTGTATTTATGGATTTGAGAATGCTGGGTGTTAGCCAGGGACTGTTCAGTCCTTTAGCTGTCATCTGTTTAGTTTTTTTTAGGGCAGTGCTTGTTATAGAGGTATTGGGTCTTTTTTAGAAAATTATTAAACATTCGTCAATATCTGTATAGATTTCTAGCTCAGTGTGCCAGTCAATGTTTGTTACTGCTGTTGTGAAGTTATTAATGGCTGCCTCATGTGTGAAATCTGAAGGTGACTTTAGTAGTGTCTTGGGGTATTTTACCAAGAGTTGTTATGAGGAAAGTAGGGTAGTGGTCTGTGGTATTATCTGTAATTATGCCTGATTTTAAAGGGATATGGTGTTGGTCCAGATGTGGTCAAGTAGGGAAACACTAGTCTCCATAACTCTTGTAGGTTTTGTTATTGTTGGTAGCAACATGCAGTTACTCATTGTGTTTGTGAATTCAGTAACGTGTGGGTCCTGGTCTTGCAGGAGATTTATATTGAAGTCCCTGAGAGTAGCAAGTGATCTTTGTTCATTGCGTGCATCAGTTATCATACTTCCTAGGTTTTGACTAAATTGGCTAATGTTTGACTGGTGGAACTCTGTAGATGTTTATCACTGTGAGAGGTTTTGTAGGTATTTTGGATTTGAATTTAGCTATTATATATTCCCATGTTCATCCCTTGTGCAAGTATTAGTGATACATTCTAGTTGGTCTGAGTAGATATATAGCTGTGCCACCCCCTTGTTGGTCTGGCCTACAGTTGTGTATGGTTGTGTAACCAGGAATGGCATAGACATCTGTAGTATCAGGCTTTAGCCAGGTTTCAGTTAGTGTAATGATGGACATATTGGCATGCAAGGAATTTAGTAATGCTAGGAGGTCATCGTAATGCTTGCTTAAAGATCTGATATTGTAGTTAAAGATAGTTATGTTGTTGTTGGCTCTGAGAAGTGCCTTTGATTGTTCTGCTGTGTAGTAATTACAGTAACTGTTGAATCATTTAAGTCATTAAATAAGAGGTTGGTATCAGGATCAATGCTTGTAATCATAAGATTTGTAGTGAATCTATAGTTAGAATTAAGTATAAAACAAAGTAAATATTCTAAAGCTAAAAAAATAGCACCTGAATTATTTAACAAATGTAAAAATAATGAGCTAAGGTAGTTTTTAAAGCTAAAATAAAGGAGACAATATAAAAGGGACTAAAATAATTTGTGGTGAACAAATAAAGTGATGATCAAATAATGGAGCTTGGGAATATGATAGTAGGTAGTACTTTAAAGGTAATTCTTTAAAGTTAGAATATATAATATAAAAGGGACTAATATAAGTTGTGGTGAACAATAAAGTGGTAATCAAATAATTGCACTAAGGTCTAATATAATGACTTTTGTGGAGTCTATGTTTTGAGCTAGAATGAGCTATAGTACAACTAGATTTAATCTAATAATATAACAATACAAATTAAAAATAGCACCAGTCTCTCACTAGTAATTGCAATATGGTCTAATATAATGAATTTGGTATTGACTATAGTACAACTGAGTTTAATCTAATAATATAAAAAAGGCACAAGACTCTCAATTGTAATTGCACTAAGGTGTTATATAAGTTGTTTACAAGTATAACTAGATTTAAATTGACAAGATAAAATATACAAGTTAAGGTAGCAAAAGAATAAAAAAAGTAGAAAAAAAAACAAATATATGAGGTAGTTGGTACTAGTTAGCAAAAGATAGTTAAGGCCTTGAACAATAATATAATTGAAATATACACTAATTGCACACACAATATAGTCACTAAGATATGAAAACAATCTTAGAGTAGGAATTATAATATAAACTTATAATATAAAAATACAAATTGAAATGGTACTTGCAATTGCACTAGAAGGAAGGAAGGAGCACAGCTTCTGACCCAGTAGCACCAGCTAGTCAGGTCCAACTCTCACCCACCCACACCCACTCATGTATTTATTTATTCTTTTGCAGTATGAGAGTATATAGTGTGCTGTGAGAAATGTGTGTGTAATTATCATCAGTGTATGGGATAAATTACATTTGTATCACTACTGATCAATTGAAATCTGTGTTAACAGAAGTATTCTTTGTCTTGACCATTTTCATTAGGAAATTCATATCTAAGTACGTACACAGTACTGTTATATGTAGTTTTCTAGCTGCAGAGTTTGAAAGATGGTATGGTAGGTCAGGTGCTCATGTTCATCTCTGACCCTCATTTCCAGAAAAGCTTTTACATCTCTTCCTGGTGGATGCCTCAACTACATCTAAAGCACTCTATTCTTTAGAAATTAAACTTAATTCAGTCACACTGAACCAAATTATATTAAATTTGTTACCCAAAATTTCCAAAATATAAATCATCGGTCAATTTGATATCCATAATTAGGGAAGAGAGAATGTACGTGAAAAGGTTTGAATGAATGAGGGAATGTTCTATCCATATACAGTACAGTATAAGGAATCTTATTTGAATCCTAGAACATTGGTAGACAGCAAATATACAGGAGTTTACTACTGTTATGCCATAAGCAAGAAATGGAAGCCTATTAAACATTTTGTGCCCTGGAAAGATTACTTTTTTGCTTTTATCATGAACATGGAAAGAAATCTTACAAACTTGTATTTAATATTTAGTATGTACTTATATCTACTTTCACTTAATAATTTCTTTCCATTTATGGAGCCTAAAAAATGTTGTATTATACATCATATTAAGCTTTGTTATTTACCAATAGTGTTTGAAAAGATTTATAGTCTTGCAGTACGTATTCATTAAATCCAGTTATGTACTTGTAAAATAATGTTTATTAAGTTATAGAAACACACTGAATAATTTTAATGATACTATATATTATATACTGATCTAAACAAATTTTAAATGCAGTATACGTATAACACATTTTTTTATTGTTTTATCAGGTTCACACCAGCTGACTTGATGGTTGTAGTGAAAACACTTACATACAGGCAGTTTTCCTTCCTGCTGTCTATGGCCTCAGCACACACAGGATCAGTTGGATCTTCCAGTGATGTTGGCTCCACAGGTTCACAAACACCACTGTCTTCAGAACTGTCTGAAGTGAGTTTTTTTTTTTTTGTTGTTGTTGTAGAGGCTACTGTATTGTTAAATACACATGTATAGGTGATAAATTGATTAAGGTATCCTTAATGAATCCTGAAAGAATTTTCACGAAAGAGGTATTCTTTATATGAAATAGAGATAGTTTTTAGTTCTTTCGTATTTGTGTGCTTAGACCCACAAATTGAAAGGATGTGAGAATATGGGATTGACTAATGTGTTGATAGTTTATCTTGTTTTTACCTTTTTCATGCTTTCTAGTTTTCCATTTAATCATTCACAGGTAACTATTAAAAGCTTTCCTAGAATCTAAATATATACAGTCACCCCTTACATTTCTTTCTTGAACAGTTTTTGGGATTGTTATAATAGTTTAAATAAATGTGATATGTTGTGTATCTTTATATGTATATGCTTCTAAACTGTTGTATTCTGAGCACCTCTGCAAAAACAGTGATAATGTATGAGTGTGGTGAAAGTGTTGAATGATGATGAAAGTACGTATTTTCTTTTTGGGGATTTTCTTTCGTTTTTGGGTCACCCTGCCTCGGTGGGAGACGGCCGACTTGTTGAAAAAAAAAAAAATGTGATATGCAGTACAAGAATACAGTGTAGGTACAATACATTTATATAAATTTTTGTGTTATCTTAAATCTTGCCAGAAACACTGAACATTATTTGAATTATGCCAACACTGTAATGCTAATTAGAAATTTAGTCATTTGCTGGTTATCAGGAATTTACTATCCAAGTAATTTATCCACTTTTCTCTAATATCAGTATCTTTACTTGTCAGCAAAATAGGCCTATAGTTTAAAGGGTTGAAATTGGTTGGAATTGGACTCAAAGTAGTGAAAATATTCAATTTTTGCCCATTTTCCTGAGGATGGGTAAGATCACCCTACATCTCCCGGTCTGTTTTATAGGTTTTTAATAGGCGTGTTTCAATTATTGGGTTGCCATTAATCATGACTTGGTTATATTTTATTACATTATAAATAAGATAAATCTTCAATTTTTTGTGATTATAAATTCAAAATGGAAGACAAATGTAATATAGGAGAGGCCTGGGAGCATAATTAATGGGGAGGTGCTGAACTCACTTGGGTCATATAACAATTTGGGAAGAATGAGTGATGATCTGCTTTGATATGAAAAAGATAAGGGTAGCTCCAGTTCTCTGGGTTAAGAGGTATTCAGCATGTAGGTAGCCTTAAATAAGTTGTTGTATCCTTATGAGGATGCCTGATAAAAAGGTGAGCAGGAGTGGCAGGAAAGGGAGTGAGAGAGAATGAAGGACTTAAAGATTTTATAAAAAAATTCACAAGGATACTTTCCTCAGATGTCCTAATATTATTGAACACAGGGCCAATGCAAGAATTTCTATAATGGGGGCTTTGGGGGGGGGGGGGCTATCTGGTTGGAAGGAAAGGCTTGGAAGCTTATCATAAAGCAGCGTTATTATTATTACTATTTTTGTTTGGTGGGGGCTTAGGGAATTTTGGGGGCTTCAGCCTCCAAGTTCCCCTTGGTGCTACCACTAATTGAAAACAGTATCAAGTTTATGTATGTTGTTTGCAGACAGCATCTGAATCTGACCTTGATGGCCTCCCAGAATCTGAAGGGCACCTGAAGCGAGGTGTTGCTGCAGTGAAAGGAGGAAAAGCAGCAGCAGCATCAGCAGCAGCAAATGCTGCTAGTGGGGCTGTTCCAAAGAAGGACATTAAACAGGCCACTAATGGGACAAAGAAAGTTGCAGCATCAGCAGCAAGCGTCGCTGCTCTTGGTAATGAGTGGGATTCTGATTCAGATGTCGATGAACCACGAGTTAATCCCGAGAGTCAGAGAGACGAGGTAATTGCTGACTGTTTTTTTAGTTAATGCTTGTGCCAATAATTCTTTTACCCATGGCTCTTAAGCTTTCAGATACTACATAAAGTCACTGGAAGAACATACAGTTCAGATGACATGATTATGATACAAGTGTATACAGTGTATACAAGAGCAGACTATGACATAAATGGGACTGTTGCATTACTTGTTATCCTATTTTATTCTGGCTGTTGTGCTAAAGTATTAAACTGGTCAGATAGATAAGTACAGAAATGCAAATAACACAAAGATAAGAAAGCATTACCAATAGTGGATGTGTTTAGATCACAATGTGAAATAAACCATGGCAGAGTGGTAGCAATGATTCACCTTCACAACACATAAGATAAAAAAGATTGATGTTCATGTCTTAGACATACAAATACAACACTCCTGATCCCATCACTTACCTAGGAATCCTGTCTTGGTAAACTAAACAGCTTGACTACACAATGGAGAAAAACATTCATAGCAGCTCGCTGCATCCCAGGCCAGGCCAACTCCACAATCACTTCAGCAGACTGCAGTGTTGAAACATAGTAGTAACATTAAATTTATGAATCACTTCCTTATTGCCTCAGTACTACTTTATACAAGCCAAAATGTGGCTTTTAAAGCAAGGCTGGAGTAACACAACTTGATACCGCCATAAAACCATCTAGAGACACCTGCAAGATCTCCCACACACCCCTCGCCTCATCAAAACAAAAAAACAATCACTGTGCCCATTGCACTAATGACAATAACAAAAAACATTTATTCACATTGATTACTGTTATCAATTCAAGATGTATTCATGCATAATGTATATTATTTCACAGTGTTTAGTTAGGTATAAACAATTAAGACTAGCTACAGTTAAATTTATCAGGTTTAAATGATTGCTATTCCTTACATCATACTCTCCTATACCTTTTACACTGATGTCCTAAGTGTTTCTTGTGCTAACATAATATTAAAATACAATACAATTCCTAATTGTAATCACATGCTTAATAAAAATACATGTATACATAATTTTAAACAAAATAAATATACCACTACAGTACTGAATAAGCAAGGTAGTGATGTTGCTAGCTACATCAACAGCTGATTACTCCATGAAAGGGCATAGATTGAGGATGAACACAGAGATGTTGGGAAAGTATAATATTTATTCAGTGTAAAGGCAAGTGGAATTAGCTGAATGTAGAATGTGAACACAAACTCCATACATGGGTACAAAAGTAAATGTGATATATAAGACGATAGCAAACTACTCACTCAATTTGAAGATTAAAGGTATCAGGAAGTTTAAACTGCAAAAACATTAAACAAATTTTAAGATCATGCAGCAATTTAAAAGAATTGTTAAAAGCCCAGGCTTTCCTTTAATGTACTGCATATTCAGATTTCCATTAAGTAATTTTGACAGTTCTGTTGCAAAAATATAAGCATTCCCCATTTTTCTGTCATGCATCATGGAGATTATTCTTCTTTCTTTCTTTCAACACACTGGCCGTATCCCACTGAGGCAGGGTGGCCCAAAATAAAAAATGAAAGTTTCTCCTTTTACATTTAGTAATATATACAGGAGAAGAGGTTACTAGCCCCTTGCTCCCGGCATTTTAGTCGCCTCTTACAACACGCATGGCTTACAGAGGAAGAATTCTGTTCCATTTCCCCATGGAGGTAAGAGGAAATAAACAAGCATATATACACACACCCAGAGGGGTGTGTGTATATATGCTTGTACATGTATGTGAAGTGTGACCTAAGTGTAAGTAGAAGTAGCAAGATGTACTTGAAATCTTGCATGTGTATGAGACAGAATAAAAAGACACCAGCAATCCTACCATCGTGTAAAACAATTACAGGCTTCCATTTTACACTCACTTGGCAGGGTGGTAGTACCTCCCTGAGCGGTTGCTGTCTACCAACCTACTACCTAGAAGATTATTCTTATAAATATTTAAAAAAAAATTGTCTTAATCTTTACTGAATATGAATTGGTAAATAAAGTTGGCAATCCTTTCACAAACAGGCATAGATAATGAGTGGAACAAGTCTTAATGTGTATAATGTATCATCCTCATTGCAAGTTTTTAACATGATTTTTATGTTTTATTATACTTGTCTCATTGCTCATAATTCAAGATTTCAGATTAGCCAATTGCTTTATATTATTATTATTTTTATAAAGAATGTTGTTTAATTAAATAGTCACTATCTGTAAGCTAGAATGTGTGTGTTCTGGTGATAATGACACTGTAGAATGTGTGTGTTCTGGTGATAATGACACTGTGCAGTAGAGTACAGAAAAAAATAAGTTTACTGTATGTATATCATAGTAGGTGGGTTACTCTTTCTAGCACACATGTGTGAGCATGTTAGATAAGAGTGAGTGAAGGCAAGTAGTTTTTATGACTTGCTGTCGGAGTGTGAGCAAGGTAACATTTATAAAGGGATTCATGGAAACTAATTAGCCAGACTTGAAGAGGTACAGGGTGTACACCCTGAAGGATGGGTGGAGATATTGCAGTATAGAGGAGTATCTGAGCTAAAATGTCGGCATATCCCTGGCAAGATAGTGATAGGGCGAGTGATAGCGAAAGTGTTTCTTCTCTTTCGGGTCGCCCTGCACCCTACTTCAGTGGGAGATTGCCATTGTGTTGAACAAAAATTAAGTTTAATTTCTTTTTATTTTAATTTAGCAGCAGCAAAAGAAGAATAATCTGGAGAATGCCAGATTACCAACCCGTGTATTGGAGAATTCATTGGTGTTGTCAAAACCAAGTGAAGAAATTACTCCTGTCAAAAGTTTGAGGGATCAAATATGTGTGCCTTCTCCAGATTCTGCAATTGGTCTTTCAAAGAGTAGCGAAGAGATCGCCAACCCAAAAAACACAAGATTGGATGAGCTAAATGTAGCACCTCGAACACCTTCTGAGAGCAGTAGTAGTGGGGTGACCTCTTCTGGCTGTGATAGTAGTGATAGCAGTGCAATAGTAGAGGATGGAGTGCGAGAAACAGACAGACATCCACCTACCAGCAGTGACAGTGAAACTGATGTAGATGAAGCTGTGAATACAAATACTGAAAACAGAGAAGAAAGGACTACTGAGAATTCTTTAAAACCTTCAAGTGAGACAGCTGCTTATGTGGTCAGTACAGTGATAGCAAAAGAGAATGTTAAGTGTGATGGTGCTCATGTTGAAATTAGGGATAGTGATGAAATTGCAGAAAATGAAAAAAGTGGCAATGATGAACGGGTTGGCACTCCAGTAGAGTTTGAACTGTATTATACTGAGCCTCCAGAGCCCATGCGTGATGATAACTGTGCCATTGACAGTGACAGTGACAATGATGTTTCAGAAACTCCACGATCAAGGGGAGGGCGTCGGGTTGCTTTTTCAGGTATGTCTACAATGGAGCCACTGTCAGTGGATGTGGGTGACAACTGTGGGCCACCCAATGTATCACTGGATGATCTACCGCCCAATATAACACTTGCACCTTCAAACTTACCCGAACCCATGCTGGTTGATGATCATCACCAGGAAGCAGCACCCAATGCTATTCTTCTCAGTTTGCTTTCTCGGCCGTCTCCTTCACGGTCAGACCGGCGTGACCACTGCCTTGATGATCCCTCTGATATAACCTCATTTTTGCATCCGGACCCTGACCTTGATGTAAATAAAACATCTACTCCTGTTGAGCCAATGGGACCCATGTCTCCCAGTCCAAACCTGACACCAACCCATACACCTACGCCCAGTGAAGGATCAAGCCATAATGGAACTGTTGGTAGCTCAGGGAGTGGCACCCATGCCTCAGTAGGCTCAACAAGCAGTGAGGTAATAATTTTTTAATTTTGTCATATAGTATTATGATTATTTTTTAGCTCAACATCTGTTTTTATTATATTAATGTGTTAAACTTATAGGGGGTTATACAGTGCCTAGGGATTAGGAGGTAATCAGGTTTGATCCATACAGTAGTATGGAATTGACCAATCTTTTGAGGTAACCAAATATATGAACAGGAGTCTACCAAGTCTGCATAAGCTCTCTTATATGTTGTGATGAGTGTCAAGATGTGGGTCATATGTAGCAATAGCCTTGCACATCATGTGGGCACCAGGGAAGAACTGACCCTTAGCCAGGCTTAATACGAGATTGAAACGAATTCAAGAAATCTTTATCAAAAGTAAGACTATATGAAATTTCTTGAAAAAGTAATATCCAGTTGCATGTAGTTAGTAAATACTTAGAATTGCTAATGTAATAGTTAATGTGTCAACATTAATGAGGTTAAAGCAATATTTGAAAAGTTGGCCTTGTAAACTGCAGATCAGCCCAAATCTGAATAATTGTTTTATGGTCATAGAATTTTGTGGTACAGTACTGTATTTGCAGGGACCTCTAGGACCTTAACCTTAATGAATATGGGGGCATATGTATAATTAACTTCCGAATAAGAGTACATTACTCACGAAATCGTAATGACACGATTGCAAACAAACCATACCACGGGCAGGATTTGAACCCGCGGTCAGAGAGTACATTGCCAGTAGTGTGAGCAAAGTAACATTTATGAAGGGATTCAGGGAAACCAGTTAGCTGGACTTTGGTCCTGGAGATGGGAAGTACAGTGTCTGCACTCTGAAGGAGAGGTGTTGATATGTTGCAGTATTTTAACTGTACTGTAGGCATGCCTCTGGCAAGAGAGTGATTGATTTTGAAAGTGTTTCTTCTTTTTTGGGTCACCCTGCCTTGGTGGGAAATGGCCGGTGTGTTAATAAAAAAAAAAAAGGGGGAAGAAAATGTATGATGCTGTGAGATTCTTTATCAATTAAGGATTGTTCAGTGTCACTCATGGACACCTGCTTGCTAGTACAGCCTCTCCTCACTTAGCGACATACTCATTTACTGATGCCTCAGACTTATGATGGGCTCTCTGACCAGTATTCATACCTAAATAATGTACAGTGGAACCCCGGTTTTCGTCTTTAATCCGTTCCAGGAGGTCGGCCAAAAACCGATTTGTACGAAAACTGAAGTAATATTTCCCATAAGAAATAATGTAAATCCAATTAATCCATTCCAGACACCCAAAAATATTAACAAAAAATACATTTTATAGAGAATAACTATAATTTTACATACAGAAAACAGTGAGAAATAAATATAAATGACTAATAAAATGGATAAATGAACATATAACATCACTTTTACCTTTATTGAAGACTCTCGTTGGGGCATGGAAGACGGTGAGGAGGGGAGAGGGAAGAGAGGTTATTGTTTGGAAGGTTAATCCCCCTCCATAAGGACTTCAAGTATCAAAGCCCTATCTGGGGTTACTTCCCTTCTTTGTCTTTTACTGGCACTAGGACCAGCTTGAAAGTCACTGGACCCCTGTCACACAGAAAATCTGTTCAGAGAGACCGGTTTCTGGCATCTCTTTATGATTTGCCTAAAATGGGACACAGCATTGTCATTGAATGTGTTGCTGACACAGCTTGCAACAGCTTTGTTAAGGTGATATTTCGTCACAAAACTTTGCACCTCACTCCACTTTGCACAAATGTCCTTAATCACTGAAAAAGGCACATTCTCTCCTCTCTCTTCCTCCTCCTCTGAAGCAATTTCCTCAGCTAAGGTCTGTTGCTGTTTCAGATGAAGGTCTTGCAGCTCTTCAGTGGTTAGCTCTTTCCTGTGGTCATCCACTAATTCTTCCACATCCTGGCCATTTACTTCCAACCCCATGGACTTCCCCAAAGACACAATAGATTTCACAACAGGCTTAGGGTTGTCAGGGACAGGCTCAAACCCTTCAAAATCCTTTTGGAGGACACATTCTGGCCACAGAATGTCACAAGCACAAAAAACTCTGGATTATTATGAAATGTTTCGGATGAACACGTGGAGTAATGCTCACTGAACGAGAAACAAAGGCAGACTGAGTTGCAAACATATGAGCAGCCACGTCCTGCAGGCAGGCGGACGTATCTGGTATGGACGATTTCTGAGCGGATGTATGAAAACGGAAAATTTCGCTGAAAAAAAAGTGGTTGAAAACTGAATTGTACAATAACCAGATCGAACGAAAACCGGGGTTTCACTGTATATTAGAGCTGATTTCCTCTATTCTGACTCAAGAAATCGTAATGACACGATTGCAAATAAACCATACCCCCGGCCGGGATTGAACCCGCGGTCATAGTCTCAAAACTCCAGCCCGTCGCGTTAGCCACTAGACCAGCTAGCCACAATAAGATTCATCCAACTAGGTATATTTCTACACCATAGGAAAGTTAGCACAGGCACCTCTGTGACCTATGGTGTAGAAATATACCTAGTTGGATGAATCTTATTGTGGCTAGCTGGTCTAGTGGCTAATGCGACGGGCTGGAGTTTTGAGACTCTATGACCGCGGGTTCAATCCCGGCCGGGGGTATGGTTTCCTCTATTCTGTTTATTCCAATATACACTACTGTATAACCATTTAAAAATACAGTGGAACCTTGGTTTATGAATGCCCTACCATGCGAATTTTTCAAGATATGAATAGTCATTTGATTGATTTTTTGCTTCTGGATATGAATGAAATTTCAGGATGCGAACTTCCCCCTCAACGGAGGTTCCTTGGTGAGGGTTTTTTTATCAAGGGAATTGGAAATTAATAATAATAATTATTATTATTATTATTAATAATATCTACTAATAATAATAATACACTGCAGCAGGCCTGTTGGCCCATACTAGGTAGGTCCTTCACAATCCATCCCACTAACAGAATATTTGCCCAACTCAATTTTCAATGCTACCCAAGCAACAAGCTTTGATAATTCTATTTACTCATGTGCAGGTCCCACTCACATTCAACCCCTCTCACTCGTGTAATTATCCAACACAAATTAGAAACTACCCAAGGTTTCAGGCCCATACTAGGCAGGTCCTTCACAGATCCAACCCACTAACAGAATAAACGTACCTAAGCAATAAGCATTGACAATTCTATTTACTCATCTTGACTGTGTGCTAATGGAGGTACAGGAAGCTGACATCGAAGAAATGCTGAACACTGACAATAATGCACCTTTTTTGCATTCCTTGAGTGATGGTGAAATTAGATGAATTGTGATATATAAATAAGCAGTAGAGTTGAAAGTAGCATTATACTGAAGAATTTGTCGTGCCTCCTAAGAGCAGGAATTCTGCTGGAACGGATTAATGTCATTTCAGTTAATTTAAATGAGGAAAATTGACTCGGCATACAAACAAATCGGGATACGAACGAGGTCATGGAATGGATTAAATTCGTAAGCCGAGGTTCCACTGTATACCAGAAATGTTATAAATGGTGCAGAAGTGACATTAAAACAGTATCAAAGATGGTCGACACAAACCCACTACCATTATAGTATGCTCCTCACTTATTGATGAATTCGTTTAACGACGTGGTCTCAGGAATGGAACTCTGTTGTTAAGTGAGGAGAGGCTGTAATCACTTCCCTTCTCTCTGCACCTTGTGGTATGCCACTAAGGTGACCCAATTTTAATTGCCAACATTATCATGCTTTTTGATTATGGAATTGTTTACTTAACCCTTAAATGGTCGAAACGTATATATACGTTTTTTCAACATCTGAAAGTATGTAAAACAATGTAGATCTTCTTTTTTGTTTTACATTTGAAAACGTGTAAAAAAACTTTTATCTACATTTTTTTTTTTATATTTGAAAATGTGTAAAAAAAAGTAGATCTACTTTTGTAGCACTACGAATTTGAACGTCTATCTGTTTGGACCATTTAAGGGTTAATTATACTCTGTTGACAGGAATATTACTTTACATTAACCCTTTCAGGGTCGAGAGGCCCTCTCCTAAACTTGTTCTCAGGGTCGAAAATTTTTCCAAAAAAAAAATTTTTTTTTTCTTATGAAAAGATAGAGAATCTTTTCCCAATCATAATGACACCAAAAGTATGAAATGTGATGGAAAACTTATGGAATTATGCTCTTGCGAAGTTAGCGGTCTCGACGATGTTTATGCATTGGCGATTTCGCCGACTTTGAGCCCTATTTTCGGCCAATTCCAGTGGACTAGTCTACAAAAATAATAACTATTTTGCTAGAATTCCATTTTTTCTATCGAATGAGTACAAGAAACTACCCATTTACCGATTTCAATTATCCAATAAAGTGGTCAGAAATTAGCAATTTTGCCAATTTCACACAAATTTTAAAAGATGCTAATTTCGAAATAGGGTCCAGAATAAACAAGACAGACATTCCTGGCGCACTAAAATAACATTTCCTCTGTTCACTAGTCACGTCCCCAGGCCCCTCTTACATTTCTTTTGCTTTCCACTTTGAATTTTTATTCTCACAAAAAATAGAAGATTTACTGTTATGCAGACTACTGCATTAGTGTAGAAATGGTATAAATAATATCAGCGCACTTGTGAAAGAATATTAGACTCATCAGTTGATGTGTATTGGACGAATGGCATGATTTGTTTACTTTTGAACTTTGGCAAAAATCAAACATTTCTGCTACTTTGAGCTCAATTTCAAGGTATTTTTCATTGTGAAACCAATCAAAATCATCTCAACTTCTGTAATATGTCTTCCATTCTATAAAATGAGACCAGGAAAACTAGAATACAACCATAAATACCATACGAAATACAGTGCAAATTTGCTGTTTTAAACCAAAAACACGGTCAAAGTTTTTTTTCTCATTACACACTGTGTGCTGCAGGATTTTTTTTTATACTGTGCACACTGACCACATAGACACATTCTTTCATATGTAGGCCTACCAGCATTCTCTCGCTAGATTTGAAGGTGCTAGAATTCAGGCGCACTAGTACGTCAATAACCTTTGTGCATAAGCCATACTAGTATGTCGGAAACCCTGAAAGGGTTAATAGCCTCATTCAAGGAAGGCAGAATTGTAGGTATGTAGAATGCATTGATAACTCTGTCTGCCCATATCACTTCAGGAACCTCAGTTATTGGGAAAGCCTAAAGTCCTGTATTTCATTGTAATTCATGCTTAGAAAATATTGCAGGGACAAATTCCAAATTTGCATACTGAAATGATGGCTTATGAGAGCAGGATGTATGGGAAATGGTGCAGAATACAACACACCCCAATAAAAAGCAGCAGTGTAATAAGTATGCACTGTATGAGGTAATGTAACCCAGTGAATAAAAGGCTCAAGACTTTTCAACATCTTCCCTTTAATTACAGTGAAAATCACCCTCACAAATTCCTCCAAGAACTTTTTAATCAGGCTGTGATACTTATTATGTTGGACTTCATGCAGCTAACATTAATAGCCCGACTCGTTAGGAAATTAACTTAGATCTGATCCAAGACTTGGCTGTGGGGCCAATGATCTATGGAATCATCTTCAGGCGAGAAGAGAGCAAAGGTCAGGTCAGATCGTTAAGAATGTTGTGTATTAGGGTTGATTTAACAAGACAGCCTCTTTAAAATTTGGAGTGCGAGATGCTGTGTAACCCTTGTGGGTTTAGCACTTAGTTATGATTATAATAATAATATGGAAAGGGAGGTACATAGTTTTATCAGAAGACCAGTTTATAGGATGGCTATGATCTCTAACATAAAAGAAAACTCCAGCTCAGTGTACATTAATATATAAAAATGAAAAGAGGGCTACAAACCCCAAAAATGTATAGTTTTAATATATTTTCTTCCTCTAGGTACACAAAAAAGAAGATAGTGACTCATCCTTTGATCATAGTGATGGTCATACTGTACCTTCTGATATATCTACTGCAACTTGCAATGAAACTGGTAAGTTTTTCATCAGAAGTTTGAACCAACTTCAACATTTGCTTTTTACATTTCTCATGTAGGTAGGATTGTATTTTGTGGGAGAACTTCAGACATTAGGACTGTGCTTCTACTGGGTGAAAGTGCCTGATCAGCCAGGTTATGATGGTTATTGGGGCTTGTGGGCTCCTAGTATCTATTGCTTGGTTGATTAAGCATTTGGCATTCTAAACCTTGCCTCAGGCTAAGCTGTAAGGGTAGAACCCTCAGTGGAGTACAGCAGTAGGCTTAATTGGCCCATGCTAGGCAGGTTCATGTCACACACTACCACACCCATTTGTGTACCTATCCTTATGTTTAAAATAACCCAAAGTCCTAACTCCAGTGATACTACCTGAGAGTTTATTCCACTCGCATACAACTCTGTTGTCAAACTAATATTTCCCTATATCCTTCTAAGCTTAAATTTATCCAACTTGAATCCATTGCTGTAAGTCCTGTCGGATTTTTTTTGCACGTTATCTATATACTATTTACTTATTCCTGTTTTCCATCTGTACATTTCTGTCATAACCTTCCCATTTCCAATCCTACATCTTTCCCTAGTGCAAATTTGGTGCCCTTAGCCTGTCTTTATAGGAACTTGTCATCGTTCACTGCATATTTTCCAGCTCATTTATGTCCATCTATAATAGGGAGACCAAAACTGAGCAACATAATCATAAACAGTCCTTAACAAAGATATGTAAAGTTGAAATTAGCCTTAGAACTTGTATTATTTATTTTTCTTAATATTAAGCCTGGCCTCAGGCTAGACTTCAAGAATACGAGCCCTCAACAAAGGTGACAGGTTAAGCCTATAGAACTTACAATAGGTAAAAGACCCATACATAAATCATTAAAATTACTACCACCTGCAGATACCAAGGGTAAAGGGTTCTTCAAATCTAGAATTTATTGGTCATTGCATGCACAACAGTATTACATATATTAATGACTTTTGTTCTTTTGTAGTAGACATTTTAAAGATATATGTCTATTAAATAAATAGCAATTTCAGATATGTAACTTAAGATCATTTATAATCAATTTGCTAGTGTTGTCAAGCCTTTTAGTTTACAGTTATTTTGTAAAAAAAGGAGCAGTGAGGAGCACCAAAACTGTATCACTCTGACCTGTATTCTGCAGTGTTGGTCAAAATCACGGCAGTTAGCGAAGCCCAACATGAAAAGTTTTAAGAAATGTACATGAGATTACTTCAACTAACCCACAAGGAGATTTTTGCATTTGTGGCTCATGAGTACTTAATACTAGCCACCACTATGGTTTTCTTCATATTTATAGTACTGAACTTTATATTTTAGGAGAAACCATGGAATGCCGCACAGACTCTGAAGAACGATTACAAGAGCTAGAGGATGGCCATGAACACCCAGACTCTGCCCATGCCAGTGATTATGATACACCTACTGAAGCAAAGGCAGTGGTTGGTGGGGGGGACAATTCACTACTGAACCTTGATGATCTTGGTGATATTAGTATCCAGCTCATCACATTGGTGAGTAAAAAGTTCATATACACTGTTGATTTTTTTGTGTACTCGAACAGCTCCATACTCAAACAATTCAGTATTCGAACACTTTGTTTGGTAAACAAATTGCTAAGTAGTCTACTGTTTGCTCGGCACTTGACCAAGCAAACATGACCTGCCAGAACTTCACTATAAACTGTTTTGTGTTTCTTCTCAATTTTTTTTACATTATTTGTATAAATAAGTCACCACGGGGGCCTAAGAGGGTTAGTGATAACAGCCAGCCAAAAAGAAAATTGGTTGGGAAAATTTGTTCTGTATTCAAACAGCCTTCTGGAACCAATTAAGTTCGAGCGCTGAGGTTCCACCATATTTAAAACATCATTCAAACTTATTATTGTTACTGTACTTTATATATGTAGTATATCTTTTCCTTTTAGGCTGATGTACTAGAAGTTGTAGCAAAAGGTTACAGGAGTGTTACAGATGAAGAGATTAAGCGATACACAGATTTTATGGTGTGGTTTTCCAATGTGGCCAAATCTGCCTGCACACACTCAAAAGATGGTGGGTAATAAAAATTTTGATTATTCATACTGTGATTATTTTTATTAGAAGTGAACTGAAATCGGGAGATTTCAGTTCTCTATATATTTTTTGTTATGCTCTGCATTCATGTATAAGAATATAATTTATTACAAAACTCAGATATAGGGATGACAGAGCTAGCCTCTTTGCCTGGTTAAAGATTAGGATGTCTCAATAATACCAGGGAGGATGCTGATCAAAGGCATAGGATCTGTCCTGCCCTTGGATTGAACCTGATTACCTTCCATTTCCCAGGTCCTGTATAACTCCTACAGCTTTAAGGCTTCCCATAAATTTTGTAAGGGTTAAACACATTTTTATAAAAATTTGGATGTACCACATTGGCACCAAATTTTCATATAGTTTTATGCATGTTGTCTGGGAAGTGGCACTTACCATTGAATAAATTTGCATCCAAGCCTGAGTTTTTAACTCAGTCTTTCAAATGGACATGCAGACATCTTATTCCCAGAAAATCTTGGCATAGTTGTACCCAAACTGACACCGAAAGACATCCTTTGCAACCTACATATCACTAGGTAGATTCACTAAACCTTCAATCTCCACCTCTACAACATGAAGTATATTATTATTATTATAATCAAAAAGAAGCGCTAAGCCACAAGGGCTATACAGCGCTGCAGGGTAGGGAAGGAAGCGAGGGTATTAGGCGGCAGAAGGGGGGAGGGATGATCAGTAGGTTACAGAAAACAGCAGGGCAGGGGATAGTGCGGGGGTAGAGGGCAGCAAGATATTGAGGTAGAAAGGGCTGAAGGTATCATCAGAGTTTGTGAAGTAAGTCAGTTGTTGTCAAAAAGTCAATGAGAGAGAGTGGATGAAAGGTGGGTCCATCAGCGAGAAGGGAAGGTAAAGAGAGAGCAGCGGAGCGAAGATGACGTTGGAGGTATATTCTGCATGCTTGTTGATAAAGTGGGCAATCTAATAGAATGTGGCAGACCGATAATGGAACCTGACAGTTCTCGCAGAGAGGAGCAGGGCGCCTCTCCATGAAATATCCATGAGTAAGACGAGTATGGCCAATGCGAAGACAGGAGAGAGTAGTCTCCCAACCTTGACACTGGTGACAAGAAGACTGTCAGTAACCTATACTCGGTTTAATAGATTGAAGTTTGTTACTGAGCAGAGTAGACCAACGTTGTTGCCAATGGGTGTGAAGGTGGGTAGCTATTGCAGCAAAATAGTCTGTAAATGGAACACCTCTATATGAAACTGGTAGGTCATGTACTGCTGACCGCGCAGCAGTGTCTGCTTGTTCATTGCCCTGTACGTCAACATGACCAGGGACCCAACAAAAAAAATATCTTTATGCTTCGTAAAGATGCAGCATAGCCAAAATTGGATACGGAGGACTAAGGGGTGAGGTGTATCAAATTTCTGTATAGCCTGTAAAGCACTAAGGGAGTCTGAGACAACCACAAATGATGACACATGCATAGATGCAATACAGATAAGTGCTGCAAGAATGACATACAATTCAGCAGTAAAAATACTAGCTGAAGATAGTAAATGCCCTCGTACGATGCTGTCTGGAAACACTGCTGCGAATTCTACGCCGTCAGAAGACTTAGAGCCATCTGTGTACACTGCAATGGCATGAGAATGAGAGTAGAAGTGATCAAGAAAAAGAGAGCGGGAAGCTACCGTAGACAATTGGGCTTTCGAGCAAGGAAGTTAGAAAACAGACTCGAACAGCTGGAACTTCCCAGGGTGGTAGGGAAAAGTGAGATGCTACATGAACATAGAAAGGTGGTAATTGAAGAGAAGACAAGAGCGAATGTAGGCGAAGAGAGAAGGGTCGGAGCAAACGGGCGGCGAACAAATAAAGAATGTCTACTAATATCGGTGACCATTCTATAAATGGAAGGATTGCGGAGATCGTGAGAGCATACATAGTAGCGAAGGCAATGGGCATCATGGCAATCGGATAAGGATGGAACGTTCGCTTCTGCAGAGAGGCTCTCGACAGGGGAAGAGCGAAAAGCACCAAGGCATAAACATAATCCTTGGTGATGAATGGGGTTAAGGCTAGAGAGGGTAGCAGGAGAGGCCGCTGAATAGATCTGGTCACCATAATCAAGTTTCGATAAAATGAGGGTGGAATGTAGGCGAAGGAGAGTTCGACGATCAGCTCCCCACGAAAGATGAGCAAGGGTTTTAAGAAGGTTCAGCCAGCTGTGACAAGTTGCCTTCAGAGAGGTAATGTGAGGTTTCCAGGATAACCTACGGTCAAAGGGGAGGCCTAGAAACCTGACTGTATCACGTTCAGGGATACGGGAGCCATAGAGGTACAAAGGATGATCGGAGATGACAGAGCGTCTAGTGAAAGTAATTTGGTGAGTTTTGGTACTGGAAAATTTAAACCCATGTGTGGTAGCCCAATTGGAAACACAGTCGACCGCATGCTGGAGAGAAACTGTAATGGTGACAGTCAGCGCCTGCACAGGCAATAGCGAAGTCATCAACATTGAGTGATGACCAAATATTGGATGGAAGACTAGAGGCCAAATCATTTATAGCAAGGAGAAAAAGTGTTGTGCTCAGAAAACATCCCTGGGGGACACCTTCAGCTTGGATAAAGTGACCAAATAAGATTGAAAAGGTGTAATAGGACTGCAAGGGCTGACTGATGTAAATGTTGTAGCATACGAATATGAATGTCGTCGGGCCCAGCTGCCGATGATCGGCAAGCTGAGAGTGTTGCCTCCAGTTCCTGAAGTGTAAAAGGCACATTATACTGTTCTTCTCTGAGAGAAGAAAAGTCCATGGGTGCTAACTCTCTGGCAGACTTTGAGGAAAGAAACTAGGGGCATAGATGGAGCCCCCTGAGAAATACGGACCAGATGATTGCCAATTTCATTGGCAACATCTAGTGGGTTTGCTATATCAACACTGGCAACCCGCAGAACAGGAGCCGGGTCAGGAGAATATTTACCACTCAGTTTTCGTACTTTTTTCCAGACTGCACTCATAGAGGAAGCAGAGGTGATGGTGGAGACATAATCTCGCCAGCAAGTGCGTTTAGCGTCACGGATAACACGGCGAGCGATCGCACGCTTCTGCTTAAAATCAAGAAGTCTCTCCGTGGTTCTATTGTACCAGTACCTGCCCCACACAGCGCATTTCAAACGTACTGCACGAGCAGGAGACCACCAAGGCACGCATTTCTGAGAATGCCTGGCCGAAGTTTGGGGTATAGAATGAGAAGCTGTGGTTAAAACTGAGGATGAGAAGAGGTGTAAAAGCTCATCAATGGAGGACGAAGAAGGAACCTCACTAAAAACAGTTAGTTGTGAGTAAAGGTTCCAATTTGCCTGATCAAATTGCCAGCGTGGGATGCGAAGAGGTGGTGAATATGAAGGGGAAGTAAGAATGATTGGGAAATGATCGCTGTCATGTAAATCCGGGAGAACAGACCAGGTGAAGTCTAATGCAGCGGAGGAAGAGCAGACTGAGAGATCGATGCAAGAGAGAGTATGAGTCCAAGGATCAAAATGGGTGCGAGTACCTGTATTTAAAACATGGAGGGAGTGGGTAGCAAGGAAAGCCTTTAACTGAATGCCACGGGAATCACAGTGAGACCCCCCTCCCCAGAGGAAATGATGGGCATTAAAATCGCCAAGTAACAGAAGTGGTGGCGGTAATGACGAAACAAGAAAGGCAATATCCGGGATAGATAATGCCTGAGAAGGAGAGAGATACAAAGAACAGTGTGTATACCACCTATGCAAGTGGATACGGGCTGCTGTGTAATGCAGTGAAGTACGAACAAATAGCTGATGGTACGGAATATCAGTTCGTAGAAGGGCACTTTCATTAAAGGTCCCATCAGGAAAAGGATCTGAAGAATACAATAAACTATAGCCTGAGATGGGATAGATAACAGTAGAGTGTAATTTTGGTTCCTGTAAGCAAACACCAACAGGGGAAAACTGGGATAGCAACATCTGAAGCTCACCCCTATTACCCCTGAGGCCGTGTATATTCCACTGTAAATAGGCCATGATTGGCACTGATAAAGATACCTGAAGTCTGCAGGTAAGGGTACCTACGGACTAGAGGGGTTAGAAAAGTCCACATGCAGTGGCAAAGGAAAGCATTCAAGCAGCGAAGGAACGGTGCGCTGTGAAGGAAGGAGTTGCGCAGATGGAGAAGAGGAAAGAGAAGGAACAGAGGGTGGATCAGTGTCCATTGATGGTTTGGTCTCGGCAATTTATTCAGAGATTGCTTCAAGTGTTTCGGAGTTCAGAGACGTCGTATGGGAGACAATATTGGAGATGGAAGGAGGGGGAGTTTGAGTAAAGATCGGAACTGTAATGGACTGTACCATGGTAGGGGGGGGGGTGAAAGGGTGGAGGGAGCTGGAGAAGTGTGGGAGGGGACAAAAGAGGCAGAAACCTGGGAGGGGACAGGGGAGGAAGGCACAGTACGCGGAGGAGGATGAACCTCCACATTTGTAACGGAGCCAGTGAAAGGGGAAGACCCAGGTACAGAGACTGGGAAGGTAAAATGTGGAGGTGGATGAAGGGAAGGAGGGGTTAAAGGAGATTTGTTGGACCTCTGAGAAGTAGAGGGACGATTGGGAGGAGGTGTTGTACGAGGTCTTGTCGATACCGGGGTTTGTGAGGGAGAACACGAAGAAGCGAGGACAGACTGAGGTGTTGAAGTAGGGACATCTGAGCCCAGGACAGCAAAAGAATTAGATACAGGAGTGACTATGGGACTGGCAACTGCAGAGGAGGCTGCAGAGGATGGGACCCCAGAAGTGGGGGGACATTTTGAAACACGAGAATAAGAAACACTGGGTAGTCTCCCTTGGAGGCGGAGATGAGAAACTGCCATAGCATAAGTGAGACCTTCTGCCTCTTTGAGGCAATGAATTTCCCGCTCATTTAAGTAGACCTGGCAGTGGCGAGAGTACGAAGGGTGAGCCTCATGACAAGGCAAGAGGTCGACTGCAA